TTTGTGACAGATCTTTTGAATTTAGATTATTGCACATTTTCAAAGAAGTCCTTGTGAAGATTGTAGCTTATTTAGTTTTTATAATATTAGGTTTTTCTCTGTTATTATGCAATCAGCAATATAATTATATTTCCAATTAGTTAAGTTAGTGCTGAGTGAATGTTTTTTTTACTCAAATTCCTGACCAAGGATGGCACAACATTAGATTTTATTGTTAAATTTTTTTTTTAAATAAACAAAGTACATTTGTGTGATCAGCCTTAAAAACTCTTTTTGAATTAATCTTATCTACACGACACAAATATTTTATGACATTTAAATAGTTTTATGATTTTATTTATTCACTTTTGTCTCAATAATACACTTTGCATTATTTTCACTAATGTTTGATTTTGAATATTTTACATAAACATAATATCTTTTTACCTAAGTTTAATTCTTAATGTTTTTAATATCTTAGTTAATATAATTAATATAGTAATTAATATAAAGTCAAAATAATTAGTAATGCAGTTAATATAATAATATTCCAGGTAATATTATTAATATCACAGTTAATATATAGTTAAGGTAAAATCTAAAAAAAAGTTCAATTTGTTGTATTTGCATAAAAATCATTTTTTATTAGCTCTATAGAAAAACCGGTTATCATGATGTTATGCATTTTAGCTTAAGTTGTAAGTGTTTGGCTATATATCAAAGTTATTTTATACATCTTTCTGAAGGATTACACACTAGAAGAGTTAGGTGAAAACGAAGACGATTTTGATGACGATGAGTTACTCGAGTCAATTAGGTACACCAATTATTTGTCAGATATATTTACTTGTTTAAGACATTTTTTTTATCTTAAAATGAATAAATATAGTTGTTGTTTTGTAAAACAATCTGTGACTAATAATTTATTATAAATAAAATTTAGTTATTTAAATTTTGGTTATAAAATGTTATCTTGTTTAATAATTATAGTACAAAGCATAAACAAATGCTGTGTTCCGGTTTAATCAGCTGATTTGTTTATCTGAATTGTTTAAAATGCTATCAGGTTTAGCTAAATGTTTGAGAGCATTTTTATATCTAAAAGTTGTCTAATGATGGTCTGTACAAAACAGATTAAAAAACTATTAAAAAAAAGTAGTACTAAGCAGTTTATGCTTTTTAATTTGAATACAGTTTATAAATATTTTTCTTATTCGAAAAATCTATACAAAAAATTCTATATAAGGAGTCATTTGCATAATTACGTAACACCAAAAATGGTGTTACGTAAATGCCATTTTTGAACCACCCAACCACCCTTTCACATTTGGTCACATTTTCCTAAAACTCACCCACCTGCTCACCTCCCCTAGTGTGATGTCGTTTTATTATGGTTCGCAAAATTGGGGCTATTGTTTTTAAAAATAACTAAGTTTAAGTTGTTTATATTAAGCCGTGCTTAATAACTTCTAGTACACCATAAGAAACCACAACTTCATTGATTGTGTTAGAGAAGAAAATGTTTTGGATTAAAATGGTTTTCAAAGAATCAGGTGAATACCTCTCGAACATAAAGAGAAGAAGAATGATTTTGATTTTAATTCGTTTCTATAAATAAAATAAAACCTGTGCCTTAGTCAATTAGTTGTGCTTTGATTTTTTCAAAAATACAAGAAGATACATATTCACTAGATCTTGGTAAAGATCTGGCATATTATTTAATTCAATTTTCTTGAACATGTTTATGGATATATTGAAGAAAATTATTAAAATTGTTATTTTTTAGCAAGAAAAAAAAAATGCAATAATGAATTATGTAGAATATCTTTATAAATTCGAGCCACAGTTTCTACCAAATTACAAATCTCAAAAACCAACAGTATAAACACATTAACAATTACACATTAAACCATATTTATATAACTTTATAAATACATCAATAGTTGAACATTAAATTGTGTAAACATTTTTTTATTTAAAAAAAACACTACTTTATAATAAAATAACACTAAAAGCCATAAAATTTAAGAAATTATTAGTACTGGGTTATTTTTTGACTAGAAACTTTTTTTTAAATTTGATGAATATTTCATAACATCACCTAAATATCAAAATAATATAACTCAAAGTTAAAACGAACTACTATCTACAATGGAGAACAGTTAAAATGAGTATTTAGTTTCCACACGCAATCAATGGAATTCGATTCGATTTCTCTTTTCTTTCTTTTGATAATCTGAAGCTTAAGAAGAAACTCTTAAGAAATCTTTAGAAACTTTCTACAAGAATACACTAAACAATACAGTTGACAGTTGTATCAGATATGAAAATTCGTGAAAGGATATGTGAGTTTTGCATTAAAAGTACAATTAATAGCAACACAAGTCGGCATTATAAATTTTGATTATAAGTTTACTGTTCAATATTTTATAACCATCAAATTAAAAACATGAAGTTCGTATATTTTCGTCTGTTTTATACAACTAATATTAAACAAAAATACAGACAAATTATTATTAAATAACGCAATAATTAACACATTAATCAATGGCAATAATTCAAGATAGATGGTAATTTAAATTGTCAAAATGTCATAACACGCATTAAAAATTATATTTGGTATTTCCCAATTTGTGTTGTATTTGGCATTTGTCTCTTAACATGAAAAATTAAATATTTTTAAAAACAGTTAATAAATACAAATTTTCTCTTCCAATTCTCATTTATTCAAAGAAAAGTTACTATTAAACTTTTATTTCTCTCATCTAAAAGAAGAATGAGTGACGCAAAAAAATATATATATATAAAAAAAATGCAATAATGTTGTACAGAGTATATATATATATATATATATATATATATATATATATATATATATATATATATATATATATATATATATATATATATATATACTCTGTACAACTCTTATTCATTCAAAGTTTAACTACATGAAACTTTCTTTATTCTTTCTCTTTTGTTCTACTCTTTTATAAAAAGAGCACGCGATGAAATAAAAACTTTTCTTTTTTAACATAAAATTATACTTTGAGATAAAATTAAATAAGAAATAAATCAACAATGAGCGAAGCAACTAGCAGATTAATCTAGGACTATTTTGATATTAATGAAAATAATTAACATTACCAACAACAATTATTAAATAAACAACACAATATCGCATAATTTTAGGGGCATTTTATTTTTATTGCTTAGTCGTTCTAAATAATAAGTAAATTTAGTTCAAGTTAATATTTTAATATTTACAGTTGCAATATAATAAAGAAATGTTTAATGTTGAACTTTTTATTCAGTTATTTATTTTTTACCTACATTTGTTACAAAAAACTTTAGAACCCCTGTCATTAAAATAATTTGTTTTAAATATATTTTGACGTGATTATTCAAACTAATTTTTTTCGTTTGACTTTCCGAACTTCATGCAAAGCAAATCGAAACAAAATATCGTCTAACCAAATAAAAATGCTGTTACTAATTTTATACAGGTAATTAATGTAAAACAATTTTTTGTCAGAGTTTTAATTGAGATATAAATATTCATAATTTATAAACATTAAATATATGGCGCAATAACAATTTATAGCAACGAACCAGCATAAAATATTTAAGGTTTTTTAATATATTTTTAAATGTTAAAAATAGAAGAAGAAAACTAAACAAATAATCAAAAAAATTTTGAATAAAAATAAATAAAAATATTTCCAGAGTTTCATTTTTTAAAAGTCTACCGTGACGTCAAATGCTAAAACTTTTATGAATTAAACGCACTTCAAAGAATCGCCAAAGTCTGTAGATTGCGATGTATAATTTGAAGACTCTGAGTTATTGAAAAAAATGGAAAAGGCGTGCTTTGGCTAAAACAACAACATTAGTTTTTCTCGGTATGCATTCATTATTTATTTTTAATCAAAAAAATTTGGTTTAAACTTTTTGTTTAACATTATCTTTAATATGAACACAACATGTGTTGGGAGTTTGGGATCCCTTTAACACATTTACAATAATTATTGATTAAGAACTACTGAAATCACAAACCGCTTGACTTCACGGAGTAATTACATTTTTTTTGCCTATTTTATTCATAGTAAAATTTAATAAATTTATGTTTTGTTGTATGTTCACTTAATATCAAAATTCGAGCATTAAAATTATCATTTATCATATAAAGGTTGTTGCAGTCAGTGTTATTTTGATCAAGGTGATCCATTTTAAAATGTAAGTAGTGACGACACTTTTGTCTCAACTCACTTACCTACCCACGTCGCTTTTTGTGGCGTTTTCAAGGAACCCACCCCAAAAAAAAAATTATGCCCCCTCTGCCTCCCTATTTTTTTAGGGTTTTTTTTGACTGGATTGTGTGTATTTTATAAAAATGTTTTAATTCTTTAAATGACTTGTAACATTGATAAAATGTTAACTAAAGCTCAAAGTATGATTTTTGCAAACTAAAAAAATTATTTTTTGAAAATACTCAGTTGTCGTAATGTATAATAACACCTCATAAATAAAATTTTAGACAAAATTTAAAAATTAATGTTTTAAGAACTAAAAAGTTTTATTATTTAATATTTTAACTGTTAATATGTTAGTATATGTAGTTAATAAATATATTAAAATAATTGTTTCAAATACCATATTTAGCAATATTATAAAGTTTTTTTTAAAAGATGTTTTATTTGAGTAAGGAAAATTTCTTTATTCTTTTTTGAATAGCAATATCTAATTCTTGCTTCAAACTCTTCCAAATTCTCAGCTCTCCAATTATTCTCGTACAGTAGCGTTTTAAATCACCCCAAAAGTTTTCAATTGGTCTTGCTTCTGGAATGTTAGCTGGGTTTATATCTTTGGGTGCAACTTTGATTTTTTTAATTTTAAAAAGTCGATGACTGACTTTGCGTAATGCGATCAAGCTAGAGCAGGCCAGAAGATAAACTCATTGTCTTTTTTATAATATTCTGATACTAAAGGAAGTCAAGTTTTTTCTAGTATCTCTTTATAAGTGTACTGGTTGATTGCCTGCTTACTGTGATGAATATAAAGAGAGCTTATTCCACGGGGGTTGATGCAACAAGAAACTAAGAGCTTGTCTTCATACTTTTTACGCAAATCGTATCTTACTTCGTCAGAACATTGAGAAGAATCAGCCGCATAAAACTTATCATTACCAGCTAATGTGCTATTGTTTAAGGTAAAATAGCTTTCATCATCCATAACAAAATCCAAGTTTTTATAATTTTAGTACAATTTACGACATTTAGAACGCATAACTTTCTTCTGCTGATGGCTACGATCTGAACGATTTGTTTTTTTGAAAGTTTGAATGTTAGTCATTGTTTTTAATACTTGGGAAATTCGAGTTTGACTACAGTTAAAAACTTGAGCTACTTTCTTTTGGAAGCACCCTGACTTATTTTTAAAAAATGCAGCAATCTTTAGAATATTTTCTTTAGTAGCTACCTTAGCGATTCAACCACTTCCAACTTTTCTTTTTAGAGATCCATTCTCCAATTTTACGATTTTATCGTAAGCAGTTGATCTGGGTAAACTCTATTCCATAAACTGCTTAGCAACAAATGTTTTACCTTTTTCTCGATTTTTTTGGAAAAAAATTTCCACCATATTCTCGAGGTCCTTTACTTTGACCATTTTATTTTCAATATTTAAATAATATTTTTAACTTAAATAAATTAAGTTTAAATAGATTATAAAATCCTCTTTCAAATAAGTATAAAGGTTTTTTGCGTGCATCAAATAAATTACATTATAAATGCAATTAAAATTTGTCCGAAATTTTATTTATATGGTGTTATATGCATGTTAAAATTTTTTACAAGATTTGTGGAATCAATTTACAAAATGTCCGAAATAATAAAATAAAATTTTTTTGTCCCAAATAATAAAATAAAATTTAACATGTATATAACACCATATAAATAAAATTTCGGACAAAATTTGTCCGAAATTTTATTTATATGGTGTTATATACATGTTAAAATTTTTTACAAGATTTGTGGAATCAAGATTTTGCTGTGTAAATTTTTTTATATAACTTTATAAATAACTTTTAATTATAAATAAACTTTATAAATACTTTGAGTCAAAAAACTTATTGCAATAACTGTACAATGCTAAATGCTTTTACAAAGATGTCTGGCTATGAAAATAGCTGTTTAACAAAAAGCAGCTAAAACATTTGAAGTTATGCTTTTATCGTATTTGAATTTTATTTAAAACACAACTCATAAGTATTTATAACAATCTTGAAAAGGTTTGTTGCTTGTAATGTTTTAGTATTATTAGATTAAAGCTCATTTTTGAAATTCAGGCAGTTAAGTGAAATTCAACTAAACTTCCCACAGATCAAATTTAAGTAATAAAGCCTTTGGTTTGGAAATAATGAATAAACCTAATAGACACTAAAACATATGAATTGGTTTTTGAAAAAACCAAATCATATGTTTTAGCGTCTTGTTTAACCTAAGGCTTTATTAGGTTTATTCATTATTTCCAAACCAAAGGAAATAATGAATAAACCTAAAACATTGAATTTCTGCAATTGTTTTTAGAAGAAACTGAATATTAGAAAGAAGAAATTAAAATACAGGTGCTTTATAACACTTCAAAATTGTATCAATCGACCATTGTGTTAAACTCAGTCATCTAGATAAAACTCAGATAGTCTAGAAAAAAAAAAGCGATAACCTAGTTAAAATAATTTGAAATGCAATTTTTAGGCTTGTTAAAAGCATGTTTGAAGGTGTTGATTAATAAGATTTCTAACTATAGAGACAAAATCTTTTAATGCTTGAATAAGATTTAAACTATAAAAATTATCATTATTACTTGCTTGCAAAATTTTGTAATTAAACAAGTTATATTAAAAACATGTCTTGTTATACACAGTGCAACAATAAAATCAAAATTTGTTATTAACTTCAGAAGAAGAACCAGTAGCAGAGGCTGCACCATTAATGACATTCTTTGAGACAGAAAACCACAGGTATAAAAAACTTTCATAAAGTATTCATGCCACAATTTCACATTTCATAACACCCAAACAAAAATCAGTAATAGTTTTTATGAAAATACTAAGTAAGCAAGTTTTTTCTTTAATGTGGTTCGTCATAGTTCCTGTTACGATTATCATAATTCTCATAAAGGATAAACAATATGGCTAATTAAAATTTATACTTAATAAGTCTAAAGTCTTCATCTTGATTATTAAAGAAAACCAAGGGACAAATACTAGTTTTTATCGATGCAACTATAAACAGTTTCTACTTGTAATAACTCTCTGTCTTCCTTTCTTGTATCCAAAGGATATCGTGATATCAAAAGTTCTACACAATTAAAGTAATATTCGGTCGCCTAACTAAAGGAAATGATGCTTTTCTTTAACATACTAACTTTTTCTTTAAAATGCTCTATAAACTTGTGAATTAAGCGACATTTTTAACTAATCATCGGCCATGTTATATGTTTAATAAAATTAATTAATTTAATAAAACACAAATTAAACAGGGTGTAAAACATAGGGGAAGTCCGAAATTTATTTTCCACATTTGAAAGCTTTTCTCTCCTTATTTATTACTTAAAATGCAAATTATTAAAATAATACACAGTCTAGTGTAATAAAACTTGGTATGTCCATTGATATATTTTGATATATACTAGTTGTTATTAACTAATTTTACCTTCTGATGATAGTTAAACAATAAAACTTGATAAAAATTCTACTCAGGGTGTATGTCAAAAGGGAAGTCCAAAGTTTGTTCTAACTGAAATAATCATTTTGATTTTTTTTAAACCAATGAAAGAAAAAATTTAAAAAATAGAGTTCTATATAACAAAATAAAATAAGGTATGTCAATTCAAGATTCTATTTAAGTTATTTAACTCAAAAGTTAGTTTAACCTCCATCAAAATAATGCAATTATTATTTTTTAACAATCGCAAAATTATGAAACCTATATAATATTTTCCAGTTTTCAATATTTTGGAATTTGAACCGTTTTCCGGTTTTTAATTTTTTTCCAACCGTTTAAGATAATTAACTGTGCATAATTTGTTTAGTTTTAGCTGTAGTTTGATTATAATAGTTATATATAGTAAGATTTTTTTCAACAATATAATCAAGTTGAAAAACTTTTATTTAATTTTTTTGGGTACGTCCAACGACGTAGCGGGCATCCCCTAGACACGCCCCTGCACTCTCGAACGTGACGTAATTATGCAATTATTCCTGATATAACCAATTAAGCCGAAATAAGTTAACTAGTGTATTTATTATTTATTTGGTTCAATACATCAGTTATAATAATCATGTGAATTAAAATATTAATGTTGAAATATAAGCAGCATGTGATAATGATAAAAATGTCAATCATGCCAAGCAGCATGTAATAATGATAAAAATGTCAATCAACAATCTCTTTTTTGTACCAAAATTAATTTTATTGACGTCGACAGAATATTTTCAAGTTCAGAGTTCTTATAAAATGTTGCGAGGTTTTAAAAAATAAATATTACTTTAGGTTTTTTTTTTTTAAGTTTTTTTAATAAGGTCCGATTCACTTTAGTTTTTTTAAACCTTTTACGTTACAGTTTGCACTTTCACTATAAAGTATTATTAGAAGTACAAATTCTGTTTGCTATTTTCTATTTAGAAGACAAAGAATTGCAGAACTAATGGAGCGCCAAAAGAAAGAAAAGTATGGAGAAATTAGGGAAATTTCTGCCGTTGACTATGTTGATCAGGTAAATAATGCTGGAGAAGGTGTGTGGGTTGTTTTGCATCTCTATAAATCAGGGTATCTTTTCGTTTTACTACTTCTTACAGCCATCCTCCAAAACTAAGGGAATCTTCTAGAAAATGCTTTTCTAGTAAATAAAATGTTTAAAAAAATTATAAATCAAGTTTAACTTAAAATCGTTTATTAGGTATACTATTTGTTAATAAATGTGGAATATATTCATATTTTGTTCTCACTTCAATATTTTAACTGTTATTTTATATAAGTTCAAAACAATATAAAAATTGTAACATTTGAAAACAGTGGTAAATTTTATCTTAGTGGTGTTCGAGAAATTGTCGAACAGTACTAAGATAAAATTTATTAACGGTACTCCTGATACTGATCTTAGAATTATTAAATACGTGAAAAAGAGGGTAGTACAGTAGAGGCGTATTACAGTGGATTATGGTTGAATGAATCGAAATTTAACCTAAGAGGCAAACAAAATGTGAGATAGTAAGCAAAATTTACATTAAAATACCAAATTCCCTTAACGGGAATTTGGTATTTTAATGTAAATTTACCTTACATAATTGCTTACACTATATTTTACTCGAATTCACATTATCTAATAATAATACGTTCACTTAGTTTTGGAGAATAATTTATCAGGGTTTAAAGAGATTTTTTTTTTATGTTAACGTGATTTAAAAAAATATTTGGTTGAAGCAATTATTAATTTCGGTAATATTTTAGTATTGCATTTCCTTAATGTTTTCAGTATTCCACTCTGTGAATTAATTGATAAGCATATGGTTCAATTAGCTAAAAAATTTCCTGCAACCAAATTTTTACGCAGCATTTCTACTACCTGTATTCCAAATTATCCTGATAAAAATTTACCCACTATATTTATTTACTTCGAAGGAGATATGAAAGGTCAAATTGCTGGTCCTATTTTATTCGGAGGAATGAATCTTACTCAAGACGGTAGCTACTTTTAAATAAAAATTTTTTTTTTTCTTTGGACGTGTAAATTTTTTATAAACATAAATGATTTTTTATAGATCTAGAATGGATGCTTTCTAAGTATGGCTGTGTTAAAAGTACCTTAAAGAGTGATCCTCGTGGTACAAAAATAGACAATAAAAATGGTTTTACTATATTATCTCGCTCGTCAAGACAAAAAAATAGCGAGTCTGAAGATGATGATTAGAAAAATTTTTTTTTTATGATTATCAAGCAAATTTTGATAGATTATTTTATATGCCTAAATTTTATTGCGACAAAATCCGTGATATACCGATGCGGATACGGATAGGCGTTGATAACAGAGTAGTCAGTAGCAGCAATAGTGTATTCAATTAGGTTCGTTCAGTCTTGTTATCAAGGCTAAAGTCAGAACAATAGTTCCTCACTTTTTTTGTGCCAATTAGTATCAATTGTTTAATATATTTTAAATTTTATTTCTAATATATTAGGCAATTGATATTAATATTTTTTTTTTTTTTTTTAGTTAAAGTAAATAGGTCAAGTTTTCTGAATATCCAATAAAAAATGCTTTCTAAGAAGTGTAGATTGCACAAAAAAAATTTTTTAATTTATTTACCCATAGTGAACATACTACATGCATATCTGACGTGTGCGTAATGAAAGTATAAAATATCTTTTATTTCACACTTTATAATAAAAAAAAAATTTTCAAGTTAGTAATAAGGTTATTCATTATCCCCCACCACCACCACTTCCAATAAAGATTGGTCAACGCTTACATGAGGGTGGTGTTATATGTTGGTAATCAGATAGCAAAGGTGGTAAAAGTAAGTCCAGACAACGTGTCTTCAACTTGACACAAACATTGCAACTTATTTGCTATCTCGTTACCAACTTTTACCACCACCCTTATAAAGGCGTTAACCCAACTTCAATGAGGTGGAAATGATTATGAATTAGCTAACAAATTTATATCGTTTTTTCTTAAAAATAGTAAAATTAAAGACATACATTATTCATGCGCGTTTGAGATTTGACTGTGGCATAATTTAAGGTAGGGTCTTATTAAGTATCAGTGACATACTTTGTACCAGTTATACATTATAAACTATGTAACTTTATACCGGTTTTACATAGAAATGGTTTAAAAATATCGTGTTCCTGAATGTTAAAAAAGCATTGAAAAAAGTCCAAGTTAACAGTTTTCTCTTATTTCCGATAAAAGTCGTTGAATAAAGTCTTTTACACAAAATAATTTTTCTAAATAAACCAGAAGAAGTTGTATTTAAAACATTTTCCTGAAAATTATTCCAAAATAGCTGTCCAGAATTTATTTTGCAAAAAAGTTAGGGTTCACAGGAAAAAAAGCGCTATCTCGAACCGTTGTTTTAAAATTACTGATGTGCAAAGATAAATTGAACATTTTGAAAGAAACAAGAAACTGAAGAGTTTTGATATATACATAAATAAAAACTTTACGACACACAAGCCTTTCTAAAATATTATTCAGCAAAAAAAAAGTTTTTTACTTACACTAATACAAAAAAAAAGATATTTTTATTATTATATTTATATGTTATTGTCAGGTATGAAAAACTTTTTAATTTTTTAAATTTTAAAACATTCAGATCAAGTCAAGGTGATGTTGCAATGGAAATAATAATATTTATATTTTTAATATTTTAATAACAAAAAAAACTAATGCAACTAATTTTTTGAAATTTTTAACAATCAAAACATTTGCATAACGGTAATGATCTTGACAAACTTTTTCGAGGGTTTCATAATCAACTCTATTTATTTCAATTTTGAGAAAGTATACACCTCATAAATGCGTCACACCTAGACCACATGAATGCGCTACAAACACTTCTTTTTTTTTACTTTAAACCGTATTATGAGTAAAAAGTTAGATAATTAATGCTGAAAATATATATTTTAAATTTAACATGATTTTCTTACTCGAAACATGGTGCAAATTAAGAATTCTTATTTCCAAATTTGAGAGAAAATAAATGAAAATAATTTTTTTTTAGAAATAGTGCATAAAAAACTAACTCTACAGATTAGGTGAGTCAAACAAGATTAATATGATAAAATTTCAAAAACTAAAATGCGTTAAACAAAAAACTTCTATCAAATGAGTTTTATTACTATGAAGAAATGTCAAAATTTCAGCTCTTTTGCATAATTTATAAAATAAGCGTTTCGCAAATTTATATCGGTTGCTATGATATTGTTACGGGAAAAAAAACAACCTGATTTTGATAGACATAATGTTAAATTATTAAAACTTAATGTTAAAATACTAAATTGAAAGTTTTTTAATCTGTGAACAAAATACTAATAATTTAGTTATTTTTTTTCAAAATTAACTTTTATTTCTTGGGGTACTACCTTAAATCGTGCTATTAAAAATAACTCAAAATATTATTTAATTGAAGAAAGAGATTTTTTTTTTTTCAAAAAAGGTGAAAATACTTAGGTACAGCAAAATTAAAGTTCGACAAAATAATTTTATTACAAAGGTGCGATGCCCGATAGGCAATACAAATTTGGTGAAAAAAAGGTTTATTTAAATAACTAATATTTCTCAAAATATATTTATTGATATTTCTCAAAATATATTTATTGATATTTCTCAAAATGCATTTATTGTTTCAGAGTAAAAAAATCTTAAGATCTTTAAAGACGCGTTATTTTATAAGTTATTTTTCTACATTAATAAAAAACATAAAACATTAAATACGTTTAAAACGTATCAAGTACGTATTAAACAGATTAATACGTATATAATACGTTTAGCTCCTATATATTCAGAATTTTCATTTCAATAAAATAATGTTTCGAGTGAGAAAAGCGGTACGCAAAGTTTATTATACGGGTGCACGTTTTTGACGGCCATAGAGCCGTTACAACGTATTTAAATAACTGTAGATAAATGATTAATAAAGTTGAATTAAACTTTTCTTAATAAGATAGATTCAAGGTTTATGAAAAACTTCTAAGTTTTTAGAAACTTTATTGCTAACATAATCAACATGATGGTTCCAAGTAGGGCTGTACCGGATTTAATTTTTTCAAATCCGGCTCCGGATTTCTACAGACAAATTCAGCCGGAGCCGGAATTTAAAACAAAGTTACTGGAGCCGAAATCCTGTATATCCCTACTAGATATTAACAATGGTCAGCAGTGTTTGACATTCTCAATACCAAGCGACAACTATTTTCTGTTAAACTTCGTTGTTATTATTAAAATATAAGGACACAATTTTACATAACATATAATAAATAAAATATTAAGTATACATGTAAGCACGGGCAAAAAATGTAATAAATGTCTGACCAAAATTCAGAAATCCGACTAAAATTTTGCAGAATTTGCTAACTGTTTGCCAGAGCCGGATTTGTAATAATGGCCAGGTTTCGGCTGGAGCCGGAGCCGAAAACCGGTACAGCCCTAGTTCCAAGTGTTGTTTTCATCAAGAAAAGCATCTAAAAATTTAGTAATTTATTCTCTTCTTATTTCAATTTGATTAATAAAGATTTGAGGTAATATTTAAGGCATATTTTGAAAGCAAATGGAATAAGGTCTATTTTGTTTTATTGATATTTAAGGTAATTTGCTGCATTTGAACCAATCAGATATGTATCAAAGTTCTTTGTTCGTTATTTTAAAAAGTTAAAAGATTTCACTTTTAAGAGGTTTTTAAAACTTCTATTCATCAAGGTGTATTCCCCGAACAGTTAAAAATTGGCAAAATTACTCCTATATTCAAAAACGGGGATAAATCAATTATTATTAATTAATGCCCTATTTTTGTTTTTTCCACATTTTCTATAATTCTAGATAGAATTATATATAACAAAGTATACAAATATTTTCATAATAATAAATTACCTTGCATTAATAAATTTGGTTTTAAAAAGGATAGTTCAACTGAACATGCAATTATCCAATCTATATGTAAAATCTCAAAAATTTGAGATTCACTTAAAAAATCGCAACATTCTTTTTATTGACCTAACAAAAGCTTTTAATATGGTCGATCACCAAATTTTAATCTTTAAAATTAAACACTATGGAATAAAAAATAAAGTTTTAAAATGGTTTGAAAGTTATTTGTCAAATCGTAAACAATTTGTTCCGAGTAATAACGGTTATCACACCACTTGTCTTTCTATTACATGTGGAGTCCACAAGACTACATTCTTGGGCAACTCCTTTACCTAATTTATATTAATGATTTAAATAAAGCCTCTAAACTAACAAGTATTATGTTTGCAGATGATACTTATTCCTATCCAACAGTGATACCTTTGAACTTTTTAAAACATTGAAAAAGAGCTTAGACATGTATCGAGTTGGTTTAAATGTAATAAGTTAACTCTTAATAAAAATAAAACAAAGTTTATACCATTGTTCTAAAAATGGAAATAAAACGGTATTTCGTAAATAAAAATTTTTCACTTGGAATCATCATATCGACTGTATAAGCACTAAAATTTCAAAAAACATAAGAGTTTTATATAAAACATGAATCGACCTTAATAAGAAAATTTTAATCAAACTTTATTATTCATTTATACACAGTTATCTAAATTACGCTAATATTGTCTGGGGAAGTAAAAAAAAGTTGCAACGTCTTTATCGCCGTCAGAAACATGCAATTCGTTTAATCTGCTTTGCAAATCGCTTTTCTCACACAAAACATCATTTTATTAAAATGAGAATTTTAAATATATACAAGTTAAATATATATAATTTTTTATGCTTTGTAACATGTGGAAAAATTTGAGAAATACTGATTGTTAAATCTTTTTGCCATATGAACTTTAATCAATTTTGTATTCCCTATCGGGCACCTCACCTTTGGAATAAAATTGTTTTGCCGAATTTTGACTTTGAACTACCTATTATTTTCGCCTTTTTAAAAGTAAATTAAAAACTCTAATTTTTTCATTAGATGACATATTATGTTATTATCAATAATATGAATTAATAACTTTTCCTTTACTTATTTACATTTACAAAAAGTTTATTTTTACTTATTTTGTTGATTTTATACTTTTTACTTAACATTTTATTATATTTTGATAGGTATACGTTTATATAAAATATTGGTATGTAGATCCGCGCGATCTCTCTTTTAATTGTATAATATATACTTTGGATATTTGTAGAAGTTAAAAATTGTTGTTATATTAGTTAAATGCTTGTTTGAACTTATTTAAGGATTTGACGACAAGATCCTTGGATCTTTTTTCAGAT